TCTGCAACTGAGACACAACCTCTTTCCTTTGCAGGGCCATCCTGGACAGAAGGGAGAGATGGTAAAAAATATATATATAATTTATATATATTTTATATGTATATATAATGTCTGCTGGGAGGCGCTCTGTAATTTTTGCATTAGGGCTATCAGCATTACGCAGTTGCGGTGGTGCCCGTCTGCTTGCGACTGGGACACGTTTCCCTCGCAGCTTGCAATTAAGTTCCTTAAATATCCTCCAGGAGCTGACGTTTTTCGTGGCTGGCCTCAATAGTAGAAGTAACAGTTGATGGAAAGTTGTTTTTTTTTTTCTGGAAAACACCCGCCTGGCGGCTTGCAACTTATCTAGCTCAAAGGAAAAAAAAGCAGTTTTTGCGTTGAGTATCTGCTGCTTTGCTTGGGGTGGTTCTTCTTGCTCTTGTAACCCTGTGTTTCTTTCCAGGGCGCTGCCGGCCCCCAGGGACACCCCGTGAGTACCCACTCCCTCGTACTTGCACCTCCCCATGCTCCCTTTTGCCATGCAAGCAGTGGACTCTTTACTGCACACTTGATTTCTATTTATTTTTTATAGGGACCACCAGGACAAAAAGGAGAGAAGGTAATTTTAACGGGAGAGGGGCTGCGAGCGCAGACCGCGTTGCTCCAGCTCTGTGGACTAAACTCTTCCTCCCCATCCCCATTTCTCGCAGGGCCAGTGCACCGAGTACCCGCACAGGGTGAGTCGCTCACGTTGCTGTCGCCCGTCCCATGACCACCTTGGGGTATCCCCTCCGCTTGGGTGGAAACGGAGATGGGTGGCCTGGCCCCGGGATGCATTGGGATGTGCCGGCTCTGCAGCCCGGCGCGGGAGCAGGGGAACGTGGCGCTGCCAGGGATTGTGGGGTGCAGCGCCAGCGGCTCCAGGAGCAGCCGGAGCGCTGGGAATGCGCGCTGGAAATGCCCTGGAAGGACATCACATGGAGCGGCTGGAATGCGCGCGCGGGGGGACGGGATGAAGGGCTCTCTGTCCTCTTTTTGCCCAACCTCCGGAGCTCGCCGAGCAGGGCGGAGCGGGGCCGGGACACGAATAGCAGCTCAGCTGTGTTTATTTAAGCGAGCCGGGCTCACCGGGTCGTCACATTAGATCCCGGCTGGGCCCCCGTTACAGCCTCCGCTGTCCCCGGCGCTCAAGGTGAAACCTGCAGCGAGTCGGCGCGCTCCAAGCCCACGGGGAGCGTCCGCTTCCCTTTGCTCTCGGCTTTCCCGGGAAAGCGATGATGGGATGCGTTCCCGACGCGCGTTGCCGGGGGCGGCCCCTGGGACATCCTGCGCTCCCGGTAATGCCCGGTGTCTCCCCTGTTGCCCAGGAATACCTAAGTACCACGCTCGCGGCCCTGCGCTCTAACCACATCCTCACGTTGAAGGTTGGTTGGGGCGGATGCTCCCGCAACGCCGGGCGTGACGCAAAGGCGACGTTCGGCACCCTCACCACTCGCAGGATGCGCTCGCCCCACATCCCTCGCCCCGTCTTTTGCTCTCTCCTCATTCACATACTTTTTGGAAGTTCCGGGGCTTGCAGGACTCCCCGGAATGGGGGCTGTTTTCACTGCAATCTCTCTGTTCCCCTCTTTTCTCTCTCTCTTTCTCTCTGCCCTGGCTGCTCTCTGGCTCTTGGCATCCTCCTTTGCGCTGCGACCTCCCGGCTGGCCCTCCTTCAGCTGCTGCCTCTCCTCAATTCGGTGCGGCTGGCTCCTCCTCCGGTCATAAAGAGACGCACTTTCCAGGTAGACCTCCCCTCCGCACCGCCCGCGCTCGCCACTAAGCAGCTTGCGACCCTCTTTCCTCCCCGGCGGAGAGGTTTCCAAGAGGCTCCAGCAGAGCCAGGCATGAAACACGGCTAAAAAATAACGCAGCGAAGCGTTAAAATGAGCAGTGGAGCTTGGACAAGCGCGTTTAAGCGAGCCGCTAAGTTGCATTAGGTCTTTGGGCAAACACACTGATCTGGGCTTGCCAGGGCCACAGCTCGTGTTTAGTTTGACATATTTTCTGCAGTCGAGGTGCCTGTTCCCTGCCCAGGACCGTGCAAAATTCCCAGGCGTGAGGAAGTGTAATCTGG